CCCTTCTCACCGCTAAATCTGCTAATGGCTTAAGGCGTTAATTTAGCCTTTGATCCCAGCAAGTCTCTTCACTACACAGTGGTCTGCGTTTGTTGCACTTTATCGTCAGTGCACCAATATGAAATTGACATCTATTCATTCATCTGACATTGATACTTGGAGTGTTTATGGGTGTCCCTTTGTTATTGAACTAAGTTTTCACAGCTCAGAAAATTGATGTTTAATGAGAACAAAATTATTTTATTGATGATAAAAAAATGAATTATTAAGGATCCACAATTACAAATTTTTATTTATACGTAGAACCTAAAAAACAAAAAAAATAAAATAAAAAACCACCTATAATCAAAAGAAACAGTTGCATAACAGAATAAAGAGTACAATAGCTTCATAACAGAGCAACTTTATAACAGAGCACATGACAGCTTCATAACAGAGCATTAAGATCAACCAACCCCAACTTGGGCAACAATGAGAAGAATTGGGAAATGAAAAAACGATTTAATAAAAACATTAGCTAGTTGGAGGCCGGAAGAGACGTGCTGAGGTTTGATGAATCCATTTTGAAACTGCTAACGAACCAAATGACAATATATATCCAAATACTTGGTTCTTTTGTGGAAAACAAGATTTGCTGCAATATGTAAAACAGTCTGATTATCATAGTATAAGTAAATGGGAAAAGGAAGAGAAATCCCAATGTCTTTCAACAAATAAGAGACCCATTACAGTTCGTATACCGTAGAAGCCATACTCTTGTACTCAGCTTCAGCACTTGAACGAGAAATGATAGTTTGCTTCTTGGTCTTCCATGAAATAAGAGAAGAACACAAGAAAATACAAAAACCAGTAAATGATCTTCTGGTATCTAAACGTGCTGCCCAATCAGTATCACAAAATCCAGTAAGAGTCAAATTATTATCAGCAGGAAAGAACAAGTCGGTTAAAGGTGTATGTTTGAGGTAGCGAAACACATGAAGAACACCATCCCAATGAACTTGAGTAGGATGACTCATGAACTGACTTAACTATTGAACAACAAAAGTTAAATCATGTATGGTCATATTAAGATATAATAACCTCTCGATGAGCCTTATGTATTTATATGGTTCACTAAATGGTGGACTAGAATAAGCATTTAACTTATGACCTTTAGGAAGAGATGTCAAAGTAAGCTTAGCACCAAGTAATCCCAT